GGAACATTTTCCTACCTGTTGAACAGGCCTGGACCCCCCTGTCATCTGACGAACGACTAGGTCGTCGGACTATTATATAATAATTAAAAAAAATAATAATTTGCCTATCCAAATAACGCTATTTTGAATTCCTAATATTGTCTAAAAGCATATTTAGGACCAAATTAAGCCATAAAAACTCTCCCCATGAACTCTAACACGGAGTTTTTTATTCCGGGCTGTCGACCGAGGCTTCATCGTCGCCTTGGTTCGGACCATACGTCGGACCCCTTGTTGGTAAATTTCTAGTGCCACCCTGCCTCCAGAGATACACCTAACTGGAGTATCTATGCAGTTACTTCCTAGCCAGTTTGTCTTCTTTTTATAATTTCTTTTAAGAGTTCAGTTTCTTTTGATTTACTGTAAAGATCTGCATTACTGACTCTGTTCTTTTTATATTGAATCATGGTATAAAAAATCTTATGTCTATCTGAAACTTTGTAAGGTTTAGGAGTAATATAGGCAAAGTAAATAGATTGCAAAGTAAATGAGATCACAGATTACATAAAAATCTACAACTTGAGATAGTACTATCATTGACATTGAACTCAACTGGAATCATGAATGCAAAGTATTGATAAAGTATAACAGTAAATAAAGACTGCATGACTGTTGCTGGGTACTATATAATGAAAAAAAACCAAGAAACCTGCATGCCAGTACCAGTAGTTTATTTATTAAATTTCATCACAATATATATAAATATATAAAGTTTACTAAATCCATTACATGTAGGCCTACATATTATGTGCTGCCCTATGTGCCAAGAGGCATAATGGGCAGAAGTACATATTATGTACTTGATGACCATAGTAATTATTGTGGTATCTTAATAGATAGATATATATATTAACCTTATACATACATTGAATTACAGTATATTAATCTCAGATGTTATGTGTAATTTTAAACTGTTCCCTCAATTTTTTCTATATACTTTTATTGTACTGCTAATCACATCCCTGTATTTTTCTTAATATTATAAATTATTGTATATTTTTTTTATTGATATTGTTGTACAGTAATTAGTCTTGTTCCTGTTTTTTAAATTTTTTTAATCAATATTTTTATAATTAATATTTTTATAATTAATATAAAAAAAATAAACCAAACAATAATAAAAAAAAAAGAGCACTTGAAGTCAAAAAAAGTAAAAAAATAGTTGCACCAACTGGGATTTGAACCTGGGACCTTCTGCTGTCTATGCAAATGTCTTAAACAAATGGGCCATTGAGGCTTTCGTTGATGGTTGAATCAGACTGGAGACAATTCATTTCGCACATTACAGCATGGTGTTTTACGCACACATGTTAAACTTAGATCAATGTGATAGTGAGAAAATCCATTATTTTTCCTGAGTAATTTCTCCTGAGTATCAACTGTGGTTGAATTTACATTAAATCAAAATTCAATTTAATTGATTTAATTAAGTTATAATTTATATTAAATAAAAATTCAATTAAACCAATGTGCAGCATACACAGTTAAAGTGTCCAATATATAAATAGTACACAAATCAAGGTATTTGGATATGAAATGAGGTAATGACTGTCTTTGTAATATTAAAAACCGTAAAATAGTATACAAATATTGACTGTGAATGCGTAGAAAATTATTGTCTCAAGGTGATGTGACGATATTAGCCTACGGTCTCCGCATCACCAAGGGTTTACAGTTATAACTGTTCCCCAAATCTAGAGCAATCAGTATTTGATGTACTGTATACTTCATACATAGATTCTACAAGGCTTATATTACCCACTTTTTAACCAATCAGATGCCTGGAATATATGTATACGCTATATAATATATTTGATGATTTAGCATTCATGGTTCATATAATATGGAAGTACTACAGTAGTAGTACTTCCATACTACTTCATTTTAGCTTCTGCTTACCGATTATGTATCTCCAACAAGATCCTGCCAATTTTCCATAAAAATTTTAAACAATCATTACTATATGATAACCAGTATTACTGACCAAGACAAGAAAATTGACTTCTTGTAAAAGAATTAAATCTTTTCTGTACTAAAGTACCGTATATACTCGCGTATAAGACAAGATTAAAATAGCAAAATTATGATCGAAGAACAGGGGGATCATCTTATACGCACAAATTTTAGAATTTTTACAATTATGTTCGTTCTATGTGCAGATCATCCGTAACACGCAATTTACTACTGCAATGAAGCTACTAAATGTTAGTATGAATTAACCGCAGCATTAAATGCTGAGAAATAAGATTTTGATGAACATTTGAAAACTTATAAAATGGTATTATTATTATTTGGAAGATTAGCCATGCATTTGGTTTTCAGCCAGCTAGAGGCAGAACCATAAAATGCAGAAAACAACCGACCATGTTGTAACAGGGGGTTGTTTTGTATGCCTGATATACAAATATTTAAATAAAATCTTCTAAAACTCAGGGGTAGTCTTATAAGCGGGTCCCTTTAAACGTGAGTATATACAGTATACAATACTACCACATTCTTGTGCAAATTACTCAGTTTAACATTAAGCAACAGTACGCTGGTTTTGGGATAAAAAGCCTCACATATCAATTATGTAGTTAGGGTGCCACCCAGCCTTAAAGTTTTCCACTCAGTCTAAAGCTAATTTCATGGCCCTCCACCCACTCATTAACCCACTTTTCCATCTTTAAAGTCCACTCTCATTTCTTTAAAGTTTATTAATGTTATAACCTACCCACCCTTAAAATGTCTACCACCCACCCATAGCTTTGTACAGCTACAATCTTGACATACATTAATTTTCATATGCAAATTGAGTCAGAATTTCAATGCACTCTTCATAATATCTAAGATAATTTTAAACTTAGTTTTCATTTTACTTCCCCTTTTGACGTTTCCGGAAATCTTCAATTCGTTTATTGGCTGACCTTTTAAACATCCTAGAGTAAAATGTAAAAAATTAATGATAAAAGCAATCATTATGTTGATTAAACATTTTTTTTTCTAAAATAGTTGAGGATGTGGGTTTTAAACCATACTACCACCTGCAAAGGCATTAATTTAATCAAGGATTTTGAGAGTCATAATTTATAATGTGTATGACATGTTGGCTCTGCCAAGACTTTCACACATTCCTAAACAAGGTTCTTATCTGCATTGCTTCTCTCAAGAACTATAGATGAGTATGTCAGGGGCAGATATGGCAGCAACACTTGTGCATGTGGACAAAATAACCCCCCAAAAAAAGCACTTTGTATTCTGTAAGGGAAAAGTGCTAAAAGTAACCATAAACCAGTAAGCAGTACTGTATTTATAAACAAAATGTTCAATCGAAAAATATATATATTTTTTTTTTGTTATTTGGGTATAGTCTTTCTTGTAAGCATTTCCCCCAGATGGGGTCCATGGCTGCGCATGAGAAGAGCACCCGTGGGGGTCCGGGGGAAATCACCTGAAGCTCTGACAAAGTAGCCTTTTTTGGGCCTTATTTAATGGATTTCTGAAACCCACAATTCGTGAAAATTCTATTTAAATTTCCATTCATTTGGGTGTCATTAGGGATGTAATGTTTTAAGCCCATTACATTAAAAGCCTACATTATAACATAGCTTTTTATTCATAAATTCATTAATTCATAAATCAATCTGCAATCAACAGAACTGATCAATTTTCAACAAACTTTGTACCACCATTATTAAAAATCAATGGATACAAGAGCTGTGAAATGAAATGCAATTGATGTATAGCATTTTGTCCTAACTGAGAATGACTTGAGTGAAATAATAGGTTTTAAATAGTGAACTTTTTGAAATTTACCCCCTGCATATGGGCATGCCTGATGTTACCATCATTAATGATGAGAGCAGCATATTATTTACTAGACACCTACGGCTGAAATATAGCATGGACAACTTCACAACCAGTCAACTGTGCAAGCTGAGTTATCTAAGCATGGCCGGCTGAGAATGGTCAGTGTGTGGTTTGCATAAATTAATTAATTTAAGTAATAATAATGCATGCATTAACAGACATACAAAATATATAATGAATGAATGAAGAAAGGAAGAATAAATGAATGAATGAAGGAATGACTGAATGAATAAATGAATAAAGGTATGAATGAATACATAAATATGTGAATAAATGGATAAATAAATGAAACATTCATACAAATTTAATCATTTCAGATAGTAACATCTTACCAGAGGAATGCTGAAGGTATGTATTGTGACAGGTACATAAATAGAAGTACCGGCTGCCTGGAAACCCATGCTTCATCCAGGTTGTTTGCCATAGCAACCACTGTCAAATGCGCACATCTATCGGTGGACATGATGGACCTTTGATCGCGTTCTCCAACTCCCATGTCCTGTTTTATCGCAGGCTATCATATGTAAAAGTCCAAGTATTAGACTTTGTGACAAAAAGAATGTAACACAATCAGTAGTGATGATTGCTTGTCTATGAGTGAGATACTTGCCTAGATAAACCAATAAGTGCTTATGTTTCCTTTAAAACTTGCCTCTCGCGCATAAAAAAAATGAAAGAACAATATCTGTATTTACTTTGAGCCTATAACAGAACTCAGCGAGGCCATATGCCAGGCTAAGCATGGGCGCTAGCGCAAACAAGAATCACGAGGCTCTGTCTGCTCAAACCACGAAGTATACAAAATGCTAGGCAGACACTTCTAATCATAGAATGAGTAAGTTTTTCAACTTATATCTGTAACAAGAAGGAAATGAGGATATTGTTATGGTGGGCAGGGCCATCAAACCTTGAAGTTTTCCACCCAGTCTAAAGCTAATTTCATGGCCCTCCATCCACCTTTATTAACCCACTTTTCCATCCTTAAAATCCATTCTTATTATTTAGAGTTTATTAATGTTATCACCAAACCACCCTTAAAATGTCTATCACCCACCCGTAGCTTTCTATAGCTACAAACCTGCATAGGTGAGCTATCATATATTGTATGCAACAATTTCATGCGGAGTCAAAATGCAGTTGCGAGGCAGTTCCTATCTTGAAAATTTGATTATCAAACAATGATAAGAGAGCCCTTTTTATCTCACACACCCTTAATTTCTAGGGATGGATTAGTTATTGTTCTTTTTTTTCTGTTAACTGTATTTATTAGATTTTAAGTTACACCTTAATATAATAGTTCTTACCAGACCTGTAGCCAGGGGGTTTTGAGAAGTTCAAAAGAGCCCACTTTTCCAGAAATGCCCATTTAAATTATTATTAAAAAGTACCATTTTGCATGGCAGTTGTTGAAAATAAACTCCAATTATTTGAAATTTTGCATTTTTATTGCCATTTCCAGATCTGCGGTATTATATCTTTAAGATTTAGTACAGCCAAGGTGGGACTGATGTGGGTAAGATTTCAAAGAGCCCTTTTGTGAAAAATTAGAACCCCTGCCCCCTTTTAAAAACCCTGCCTACGGGCTTGCTTACTGTTATTATTACTATAGTCCAGGCACTGTGGTGCCAGTCAGATAATAATGAATAATGTGCCCTCTTTCTATGAATATTATAGAAAAACATGCTATAACTTTATGTGTATATTGGACAAGAGTACAAACAAATTAGTTAAAACTGTTTATGAATACTTAGAGAATCAGGACTTTATTCTAAATGGATGACACTTCTCATGGTTTTCTTGTATTGCATTATGCATTTTATATGGCTTTTAATTATTGAAATAAAGATTTGATGATATTCTCACCTGGTCTATATCTTCCTGGAAAGCGTTAATTACTACATCAGACACTACCGGTCCAGGGCACACATTGGTAACAGTCACATTGCGATGGTACACCTCGGGTCTCAGAGAGTTAAAGAAACCCTGCAAAAAATCAGTAAATAATGAATTGTTGATAATTGTCATAGAATTTGTGTATGGATTTTAATGTTGGATGCTAGGAAAAAATGAAATTGGTTTATTTCATAGGCGAGACTTTTTTTATTCTTTGTTTCGCGTACTTATTTTTTTAAAGATTATCAGAATAGGGCGGAATAAAAAAAAAGTAAAATTTTGTTTTCTTATTTAGCAAATAGTTTTGCCAAAATCATCCAGACGGAGGAGTAAATAAAAATAAAATTTTATTGCTAAATGTAAAATAGGATAGTTAAACCTTCAACTTTATATAATTAGGAAGAAATATACATATCTTTGGCAATTTCAAAGCAGCTGAGGGTGTAATAAAAATAAAGAAAAACATTTTTTTTCCCTGAAATTTCCACTTTTTCGTGGCCGCGGGTGCACTTAATTGGCCAAAAATAAAATTTTATTTTTATTCGAAATCATCAATATTTGCAGTTGGCGGGTTTGCTAAACAAGGTAAAAAAAAAAAGTCTTGCCTTAAGCAGATGAACAATCACCTACTCGTTTCTGGAGAGTGTACTTGGCCATCCCGAGAGAAAAAACAACGTAAATGACATTTTTGTCAAATTTGAGATAACATTTGACAATGGCCCTAAAATAAAGACAGGAGGAGCGAGATGGAGGTTGCAGAATTGAAGATGCTATGCTTCTCCCTTGGTGTAACAAGAAAGGATAAGATCAGAAATGTATTCATTAGAGGAACTGCTCATGTAAGACGATTTGGGGACAAGTTGAGAGAGGCGAGGCTGAAACGGTATGGCCATGTATGCAGAAGAGACATGGAGTACATTGGAAGGAGGATGTTGGAAATGGAGCTACCAGGTAGGAGAAAAAGAGGAAGACCAAAGAGGAGGTATATGGACGTGATAAGGGAGGACATGAAGGAAGTAGGTGTGAATGAGTATGATGCGATAAACAGAACGACGACTTGTTTGCTGTGGCAACCCCTGAAGGGAGGAGTCAAAAAAAGAAGATTTGGGAGTATATTAAACACTTCTGTATTAACCTATAAAAATTTCAGGTATCAACGATAAGTAGTTTCGGAGATAGCACCACCTATCTTTAAACACAAAACTTTAAATCTACAGGGAGTCATTTTCCGTGGTAAAACTGCAATATTACGAGGCAAAACAACATATCTATGATGAAGATACATTGTTTTGCCTCAGAATGGTATTCAAAAACTGTTTTAAACTGAATAAAGTTTGGCAAGGCAAAATCAACTAGTTGATGGTCTTTTCATACCAATAATCTTAACGACGTATGCACAAGCTAACCGCGCCTCACATGTTTCCAAGGTAAAACAATGTATCTGTAAATATCGTTAAAAAACTTAGCAATAAACCAACGGCTGTAATTAAAAACTTTTATATAATCATAATATATAGTCCTGAAAAACTTCATAAGGTTATGACAATTTATTGCCAAGTTGCAAACATGCAAACTTTAAATATTTTTCTCGAAAAGTGACAATTTCAAGTTACGTTGTTTTGCCACGAAACGGTCGTACTGAGTTCTTTAATGTACATATGGGCCATATTGCACACAGGGCAAATGACTTAAATGTCTCTTCCGAAAGTTAGTACAAATTTTTCTTTATACTTTCAGTCCTCCTGATTAAACAAAAGGAGAGCAGTGGATGGAAATGAAAAGAGCATCTTCATCCAGTAAGCTACGCTATTCTCAAATGTAAAATGCAGGGGAAACTGTTTAAATATTTTTCCAGTTTCACTATCTTCTGGCATAACAGGTATTGAAAGTAAACTTTATTCATGAAATAAACAATGAATTTTTGTTTGGTATTCAGCATTGAAAGTTACCCTTACCTGTATTGCATGCTTTGTTGCAGAGTAAGATGTGGAAAGGGGAACCCCAAATTTTCCAGCCGTACTGCTGATGTTAACAATCTGACCAGATTTCCTTGCCAGCATGTGTGGTAGAACAGCTTTTGTGAGAGACACGGTGCCGATGAAGTTGATATTAACAATGCGATGGGTCACTTCCAGGCTAGTGTCTTCACATAGAGAACGTTGTGATTTACCAGCATTATTTATTAGGATATCCAACTAAGAAGTGTAAAAATAATAGTTGTTTTCTTTTTCTTTAAATGTAAAAGTCTACCATCCTTTGCATGAAAACAACCTCTTGTATTATCAATAAAGCACACATCAAAAATAAATAATAAAATAATATGGAATTTACAACTTTTTTGTCTGTTCAATGGAAGAAAATGTAATGATTTTAACACATTGGAAATGTCAAATTTCAGAATAAAAAAAATTTATTTTGCATGCAGCCTTCAATGTTCATTAAAATTACAGTTCTGATGACTGACCACCCTAATACAAGGGACAGGAACAGGAAGTTTTGATAGTGGGATTGGGGGGAGGGTCTTAATACAAGGGTGGCGCAGCGGAACAGTTTGGTTTCCCAACCTCGAGGTCAGGGTTTCAAACCCTCGCTGTGCATTTCGCTTGTGTCCTCGAGCAAGGCACTTTATCTGCATTGCTTCTCTAGACCCAGGAGTATGAATGGGTACTTGGTGGGGTTGCCTGCTCCTGCGCTGATTACCAGCAGTAACACTTAAAGCATGTGGAACCAATGAGAAAACTGCGCTTGCTTTATAACCTCAAGGAAGAGGTGCATTTAAAATGACTATACCAGTACCAGTCATAAGACCGTCTATCTGATGAAGCTTGCTATAATCGACTTGTTAAGACTTTCTGTTTATGACAATTTAATAGCAATTTGCCCCACAAAAATTTTAGGTGGTTTGAATCAACACCTGCCTGAGCCCGACCATGGAAGTATGGTCCACTCATCAAGCAGGTGTGTTTAATAAACTAATATTTTCAGAGGTCTTAAATAAAAGTTTTTATTTAGACCAACTTACTAAATTATCAGTCACAAAAAAGATGTGTGTTGATAACATTTTTAAAGAGGTGGGGAGGTTAAAACCTGTTCATCCACCTCTAAATCTTCCCCTGCCTGCTACAGTTGATATATGACTTTATTTAATAATGAGTAAAAAACAAAAATAAGCAGGGCTGTGTAAGCTTCAGTTAGAAGAGAAAATACCTTTCCAAAGTGACTGATGACATCATGTGCTTCTCCACGGTGGGATTCAAAATCGGTGAGGTCAAGGGGCATCACCAAAAGATCTCCATTCTTGGCACCATATTTGCTAACACAGGTTTCTTTCACTCGTTCAAGTTCATCTTTTCTTCTTGCAGAAAGTATAATCTTGCACCCCTGTTTAAAAATGTCAACATGCTATGTATCACTTTCCTTAAGCCTGCTTGGAGGTGGCTATAATTTAATGAATGTGTCTTTTATTGATTAACAAGCATATAGAAAACTAAATGTTCTTCGGCAAGGGCCCCCAGTACAATAAGGGGATAACCTAGTAGGCACAAAATACCACTGTGCATTTTAATAGCTAATATAATATTATGCAATTCTCTACCTGGCACTTGAGTATGTGTTCCATTGATGTTTGAAATGTAAAAAAGCAATCCACCAATCCCCACCCACCATAACTACATCTCTGGGGTAATGATAATAATATAGTAAGTGCACAGAGGCATGTTACTGATTACCTTTGTTGATAATTTATAAGCTATATGTTCTCCAATACCACTGGAAGCACCACTAAGCCATACCACTTTCCCTCGTAAATTATCTGTGAAAATGTACTCATGTGTGCTTACCACATACTTTTACAAATAGGTTTGTTTCATGTCATGTTGTGCCGAATTCATAAAAAATGGACATTTCATATGTGCAATTTGTTAAGTACTAATAACATTAAAGTTTATCTTATTTTTTTTATCAATTGAATAAAATTAAAATTGTTGGACTATAATTTTAGCATAGTAAATCAATAAAATGACCAGTATTAAGTTGCACAAGACGTTTTAAATTTCATTTCTTTTCTGACATGATAATCTTTTTTAAGATCTCATTTTCCTCAAATTATCAGCTGTCAGATTTTTTCTCTCTTGAAACTTCTTACAAATTTCTTTTATTCAAGATTTATTTTAACAGTATAAAAAAAGGAAAAGGATTTAATTATAATTAATTTTGAACTAATTATGTTGTGATTTCAATTTAGTAACATATTGTTTCATTTACAATCATTTCACATCTGAAATTTCCCATTTTCTTTGATTGTTAAAACATTGATTTATGTTAAAAGAAAATAGATAAAAAATTTGAATATACTGTATGTTGGTCTGAAATAGGTGTTAAACCAAATCCAATTACTTTACATTCAAAGATTTTAGATTTACAGAGTTACAAATTACTACAAGGTTTATTAAAAATTTTTTTAAAAAGCATAAACATAATATAAAATTTACCAACTTAATAATGATTTAAGGTAATTGATAAACAAAAGTAGACTTTGGTATCACAAGTTTTTAGCCTAAAATACTGACACAATTATAGCATAGAGGAATGAAGTTAATAAATAAGTTAAACAAGTTTTTAATTATTCATTCATGGATATAATTACCTCCATCTAGATGCAGTTTATCATAAATCATCAGCATAATGTCACCATCAGATATTAAGATGAAGAAGAAAGCAATGATGAAAGCTATTGCCATAAACACAGCTACAAAGTAGACAAAAGGTAGGAGAAAAAGAGTAACTAGCGATGCTAGACAGATCCCTCCTAGTGTGTAGGCTATATGCATGATGACTTTGCTTTCTGTCAAAAAAATAAACAATAACATGGTTATATAATATGGTTTTCATTATAAATTTAATTATAATAAACTTTAATTTTTTTATGTATGTTATTGTTTTGAATAAGTAATGAGGGTTCCAATTAATCAGCTCCACTTGGATGGACTGGCCTCACAAAATATTGTTGAAATAAATTTTTAAAAAATAAAATAAATACACAAATATATAATTATATATAAAATAAATATGGATTATACAGGAAAGCCTAAGATCAATAAAATGATTAGTACATAACATTTTCTGGATGGACATGAGTCTTTTTTCCATTTTCTCAGATACAAATGTTTAAAAACACATTATTTTTGCATTAAAGGATATTTCAGAAGGGTTCAGGGTGGTCCGCATGGCCTGTCCCCTGCCAATGGACCTTTGTGGAGTGTCACACTTTGACCAATCAGAGCAGTGCCAGAAATACGCGCCCAACAAACGCATGTGTATAGTAGGTACATTTTACGCTATCTTTTGTGGAATCTTCCAAGGCAGGGCTTAGCGGAAAGGTCTATTACCTTTAGGCAAGACTTTTTTTTTACCTTGTTTAGCAAACCTACCGACTGCAAATATTGATGATTTCAAATAAAAGTAAAATTTTATTCTTGTCCAATAAGTGCACCCGCTGCCATGAAAAAGTGGAAATTTTATTTAAAAAACAAATTTTTCTTTATTTTTATTACACCCTCTACTGCCTTGAAATCTACAAAGATAAGATGAGTATAGGCCTACATGTATATTTCTTCTTGTATTAATTTGAAGCATTTAAACCGTCTTATTTTACATTCACCAATAAAATTTTATTTTTATTTTCTTCTCCATCTGGATGTTTTTGGCAAAACTATTTGCTAAGTGAGAAAACAGAATTTTATTTTTATTTTAATTCCACCCTCCTCCAATATCTTTAAAAAAAATAAGTCTCGCCTTACGCTTACACTCTTGATTCTTGTCAATGGGCACATTTTTTGGGTCCTACTAAACACCACACGGACCACACGACAACACACACACCCACACAGGAAATCACGAATGCAAAAATAATTGAAATATTACCAAACGAGAGTAGAAAACTGCCTAAAAATCAATGAAAAACAACTTTTAAAATGATAGTTGACGGAATTATGGTAAAAATTGATCAATATTTTTACAGGTTTTGCCGCCGTGCTTCAGAAGGTAATACGTTGACATTGAGTATCTCTAACGCATTGACGTCTGCAGAAACGCATTCAACCATGACCTTTATAATAGGCCTACACACACTACGTACATTACATTTCATGAAGAGAAAAATATGCAAGGTACAACACATGAAGGTTAATGAACTTAAAAATTGTAAATAATAAAAAGGAAAAATAGTACTTGTTGTTAATATTATTAATTTTGTATTATGTTATAGTAATATACAAAATTGTACTATTTATTATTGTTATCATTATCACATTTAATTATTGTATTAATATTGTAATATTGTAATGTAATAGGCCTTAACTATTTAAATTATGTGTATTCTAAAATTGAAAATTTTAAATAAGATTGAAATAAAGGTGGGTGTAACTCCCACGAAAGAGAAAACTTGTTAGTTCAGAATTTATTCTGTTATAGTATTAGGTTTTTTTTCTTTTTTTTAAAAAATATATTGAGTGTTACAACTATTGAGTAAAGGAGATTGCATTAATATAAATATTATAAATGAATAGATTCAGGACGACCAATTTATCCAAAGTCAATAAGTAGATTCCATTGGGTTTACGAGTAGAATAACAACAAATAGATTCAAGATTCAAAAATATATTTATTTCTAACACATTTTTATTTCTAACACATTTTCTCAATTATCTACTCACATTGGAATCGCTCACTTTATTATCATTGTAATAGAAAAATATATAGAATGTCTCGAGATGAAATTAAATGTACGTAGTGTGTGTAGGCCTTTTATAAAGGTCATGGTTGAACAGGTTCTTCAGACGTCAATGAATTAGAGATACTCAATGTCAACGTATTACCTTCTGAAGCACGGCAGCAAAACCTGTAAAAATATTTTTTTTAGTTTCGCTCTTGTGTGGTAATATTTTAATTATTTCTTGCATCAGTGTGGTTCTGTGTGGTCCGTGTGGTATCTTGTGGTGTTTAGTAGGACAGCATTTTTTGGTATACCTATACAGTATCTCCCACCTCCCCCAACAAAAATGGCCTGGTAAACCTTGTAGATGTAGGCCTACCCTTTTGGGACCTACCAGGCCTCTCAATCTCAGCCTAAAACTAAGAAGGACAAGCCTAGTCTAACTACTAGAGTAGGCCAGCCTAGGCTAGTAGTACCAAGGAGAGTACTAGGCCTAGTGCTACTTGTATTCGCCTATGGCCTATATTCGCCCACTGGAAGACCTTTTTAACTAGCCTACCCTAGCCTAGGCTAGGGCCTATGCCTAAATGGCCTACTATGACTCTAGTCTCAGGCCTAGAAGAAGTCTAGCTTAAAAGCTAATTAAATATATGACACCAATTCCAAAAATAAATTACAAACTTAGGCCTAGGCCTAGGCCTAGTTCTAATTCTTACATTCTGATTCAATCAATTCAAAACCCGTCGATTCAGTTTCTAAAAATAAAATCACACGCTGTAACGAATCACATGATTCCCAAAGGGAAATTAAATTCCTCCGTGTTGCAATGTTGTTGACTTAGAAGCAGTGAAACTCGTTAGGGAGGAAGTTGTACTTCAGGTAACTCTCAAGCGTTCTCTATTTTATTTATAAATTCTACAGTTCATATCCAAATCACTAGAAATCTGAGATACCAACTCCTACTGGGGCCCTATTTACTAGGGTAGGCTAGGTTTGGTTTTAAACTGAGAGCTAGGAGGATGGCCTAGGCCTAGGCCTAGTACTTACTGGCTAGATTGTCTGTAGGAAGTAGTCTAATTCCATTCCATAGACCATTCCGCTCTCTCTAGTACTAGGCCTAGTAGTATGTAGCCTAGTGTGTATTTATGTACCCTAAGCATGGGCTAGTTATGGAGGAGTAAGAAGTTTTGGCCTACTAGGGCCTAGGACCTACCTGCCAATTGACAAGCTTAGCTATTACTAGTCATTTAAACAAAACACTTGCAGCGCAGTGACGGCGCCAGCGGTGGGGGGGGGGGGGTAGCAGGGCTTAATTCCCCCCCCCCCACCGGACGTCAAGCCAACACGTCTGTCACAATCAGAGAGTGTCATTTCTGGCCATCCAGAGGTTATTCTTAAAAAAATCTCATTTGGGAGGGGGAACACCCTCTCAAACCCTTCCCCAGCTTGGGCCTACCACCCCAAGTCCCCCTGGTGGACAGCTCAGGCCCCCCCCTAGAAAATATATCCTTGAGCCGCCACTGTTGCAGCGTGATCATAAATTTACCTTGCATTCATTAATAAAGCCATTTAAATTTAAATAGAAAGGAAAGAGAAACTTAATTCAACAAAGGGAATATGTTTGTCAGTTTTCAATTTAAATATACAAGCAGATAATGAAAATTAATATAATAATAATTTTGATATACAGCATGATTATAAATGAAGGCGGTAAAGACCCAAGAGGATGGAAAAATATATATTGTAAATGAGATCTTTGTTCCATTCATGCAAAACTCCCACATCATAAAAAGTAATGAATAACAAAGATTGGTTAATTACTAATCTTAATTTTTTGTACTTTAATTAATTAATTAATTCTTATTTAGTCCCTATAATATTATTCTTTCTGCAATGCAATCAAAGCTGTGATGGCACCAGGGGGATAGGGGGCCACCCCCGTTGGACGGTGCTGCAGGACCTCCGTCGACCAAAAATATTAAGTTGCCTATCCAAAACATTATTTTTATTGCCAGTCACTAATATTGTGGTCTGAAAGTACAATTTTTTGCCATACTAGGCTTTAGCCATAAAAACTCTCCCTACCAGGATTTTTTATTCCGGGACCGTGGATCTAGATTCTAGCCGGCCCCTTTGTTTCGACCCTGCTGTCATACATCGGACCCTTTGTCGTCAAATTTCTGGAGCCACGTACCACTGGTTCTAAGTAAATAACCTACAGTAAAATACCAGTAAAGTGATGTACTGGTAAAAAATGGTGCTGGTGAGAATGGTTCATTGAACCATCGAGGTATAAAAATATTTTTATACCTCCATGATTGAACAGCTAGTCAGAATGAAATGGAGAGAAACAGTGACTAATTACAACCACCTGAATACAAATGGGTATACAAATAAGAAATCTGAATAAATTGATACTATATTATTAGGTTGAGAAACATCTGGTAATACTCATACTCACTGAATAATTAAGGAGATGCATCAATCAATCAATCAATCAACAAGGATTGGTGTAGCACCACTGTCCATTAGTGTAATCCAGAATGCAATGTGAACAATAAAAAAAGTACTTCTTTAATACTGCAGTAACAGTTTTTTCAATGTATTTAGTAATTTGCAATAAATAAAATATAAACAAAATGCACATTAATTGGCTATTGTTTTGCTAAGTACTTGGCTATGGTAACCAGCAAATACAATTCACAATAAACAGAACAATACAGTACCCCTGTAGTATAAAGCTGACTGTGTGGTTCAGCCAATCAGATGCGAACTACTCGCACTGTTAATAACAACTACTCTTTCATTTTGTTACAGTTTCTCATACAATGTGACCGTATTTTTTCTCAACACAACATTTCTGGTTGAAGAACATCGTCATAACAAACTAATGAATATTCGTCAACTTAATAAATAATTACACATACTATACTACTTCATCAGGATTAAATAGCCTTGGTAAGTATTTTCCATAAGTTGCAAAAGTTTTTAAGCCACAAAAATATTTTGTTGTCTAAAAGTAGCAAGAAATGGTTGTAATTGTAGATATTAGCTATAGGCCATGGCTCGAATCATAACCTTCATTTGCTTGTTAACTTGGTGTTATTTATCTATAAAATGTCCAAATAGAAATGTTATTTAAGTTTGAATAAAGTTTTAAAAATTTAAAATGTATTTAATAATGTTGTCATTTGTGTCTCATATGGTTTACAACTGATAACCCAGGAATGGTTAATAAGATACAGATTTTGAATACAGTTGAACTTGCGTAAGTCAAATCCAAAATGCCATTGAAAAATTGTTCGACTTAGATAAAATTTGACTTACAGATTGTTAATTAGTGAAAAACACAACAATTTGGCATGTAAAATTATATGTTCGACTTAGAAATTATTTGAGTTAAGCGAAGTCGACTTTGACAAGTTTAACTGTATTCAAAAAGGTGGAAAAAGTGTGGTTACCCACCTTTTTCCCCAGTTCTTAAATATTCATTAAAAAATTGGAGGCTGCTTAAACAAAAAATTAACCCAAGTACATAATTTATTTAAAATCAGTTAATAAACTCTAGTACTGTACAGTATTGTAATATTGTACTCTTTCTATGTGAGAGTCTATGGAAAGAAGGAAAGCCATAGATAAATTCCAAAAAATATTAGGAAAAATAAGATTTTGTATTTCTTTTTCAGGAATTAATCATGGAGAATTTACGAGAGTATGAGCCCTTAAATTACCTTATAGAGCTTATGCCAAAGAAGGCCCAGCGTGGGCTAACATCTCTGAATGTTGATTGGCTATCCATGGACGTGAATACAGACTTTATTGCCATTGGGGTAAATTTTGGAATGGTCTTCCTCCATAACAGAAAAGATAGAAAAATGACAAAAATTAGATGCCAGGTATGTTTGTTTTAAACTGATTTATTTGTACCTCTTGGTAGATATTTGAACACCGAACAAATACAGTGAAACATACTCTAAGAGAACTGTTGGTGAAACAATTTATATATAACCCATCACATAATTAGAACCAATTGTTGGTATTTCCATCACACTAAATCACATCACACTAACAATCACAACCGATTCATTTATCCCTAAGCATCTGTTGATTGTTATTTCTAACATTTAGCAATAAAATAATGTGTGTGTTCAATACTATATATTTTGAAAAGTACATATAGATACTGTATACACTTTTCTATATTTTTTCATAAGATAAACTTGCCTTGTTTCTTGTAAAGGATAAATCAGGAAAAATAACAGCATTGAAGATGTTAAAAGTTCTAGACCACCAAGTAGCTATAGGAACATCAACTGGATCAGTTGAACTCCACTTAATACCTTTACCTGGCCGTCCTCAGCAGGTGTGTATCTAACACTGTATTTGTTGACAGTTATTTAATGTTTTTTTTGTATTAAATTCTTTTTTCTGCATTCTCTCGAAAGTATTCCAGGGGGCGAAGCCACTGAAAAATATTACAATTTAGGGGTTTTAAAGGCTTATTTAATATACATTTTATTTCTCCCCAATGAATTGTGGTTTTTCTCCGTGATGGGTTGGGGGGGGGGCGCCAGCTCTCCTCGCCCCCCCCTCTGGTGCCATCCCTATCTCCATATTATTAGCCACTTTGAAGCTGTTCTCTATGTAGGATGATATATGAGTTCAATTAATTAATATTTATTATTACTACCATTAATAGTGAGCATTACCATGTTTGATGTTTGGTGCTTTTTCCTCTCAGATGAAGATGTTCCCATTTAATGCTCACAAGAGTCAGATTACCTGTATGGAATGGAGTCCAAATGGGATGAAGTTGTACTCAGGTGATAATCAAGGTGTTATTGTCTGCGCACAGGTAGATTTCTACGAGGTAATGGTTTGATTTGATTTATTCGATTCCACAAAATAACAAATACATAAAATGAGCATGCATTAAAATATAAAGTACAAGTTAAAATGAAATAATTGAACCAGGATAAACAAATACAGTTTTAAATGAGAGTAAACTTATTTCAATTTGGGTTTATAACAATAAGTAAATTATAACAAGTGCCATAGAAAAATTATATACAAATTTATATATTATGTATATAAAATATATTTTTTTTAAATGGCTAAAATATATAAAAAAAATGATCTCAAGCACAAAGATTCCTTTTAACTAGGGTTTTAAAACTATATACCTTATTGGTGGCCTTAATATGCTCTGCAGTGAATTCCAAGACTTGATTGCATTATAATAATGCCATTCAGACATGGTATCTCAAAATTGTATCTTCAATTGTATCATTCATCTATAGTTTTTAGAAATCATCATTTATTAATTATTGGTATTATAATTACAATAATAATCATCATCATAGTCACTGTTATCATTAACATTCACCATTTTAATGTGTAGTATGTAGAAGTTTTGTTTATTTTATTAATCTAAATTTAATTTTCTGTTTATACATATTTTTAACTTACTTAATAAAAAAATTGTTTCTTCATTTCTTGGAACTATGACCTTATCTAATCCTGACTAGCTTTGAAACATGTATCATTATACAGCAATCATCATCATCATTATTATATAACAATCATCATAATCATCATATATCTTATTGAACAGGCATCACGATACTAATTATCTTATTCATTATTAAATCAATCATCATCATCTTCATCATGTATTTATTGTCATTATGATAGTAGTTGTTATCATTATGGTGATTTTTTTTTGTAGGGGAATTGTTCAACTGTAGTAATTTTAAAAGAGAGTGAACCAGTAGTCCAGCTAAGCTATGCTTACAAGTGTCTGCTTGTGTCAACATGGGGTCGTACTGTCATATTTGAGTCGGACAGTAGAAGCATCAAGCAAGTTGGACAACAACCAAGAAAATGGTATGATTGTGTTTTTTGCTTGGCCTGCTTTGGCCTCCCCTCTATATTTTCGAAAATTAAATAAAAATAAAGGAAGCAAAGAAAATTCCATTAAAATTTAATGTTGAGAGTGCGATTTCCAGGCATCTAGAAGTGCTATAAACATAAAATTTAAGACCTCAACCCCCAACCATGGTGAGGTTGGGGTACTTGTGACCCTCCATCTGTGCAATTCCTACAGCCACTGTGAGGTTAAAAAAAAATTTTCAACTGAAATAAAAAACAAACTATATTGAAAAATACAGTATATCAATTCATCTAATTCATCCGAACAACGTAAGCTCTTAATTTATTACCTTGGTATTAGTCCAGTAGTAATTTTCTACTGTTATTTTTGCTACTGAATGAAGTACACTTGTAAAATATATTTAATTTATTTCATTAAAAATAATTATCTTGTAAATATTAATTAAACTTATTAGTAGTATTATTCATTAATATCATTCTTCTTTATTGATCATCTACTTGTAAGAGTAAATGTAAAAAATAAAGATTTTATACAATTTTCAGCAAAGGTACTTTTGGGGCAAGCTTCATTCCTGCAGTGTGCAAGGCACGCGATGCTAAGTTCTACCTGTCTAGGCCAGGCCTACGACTATGGCGATCGGACATAGATGGTACGGTTGAAAATACTCTTCTCTTTAACGAGCTCATCAAAATAGGCTACCCACAGCTGAGTCTACTAGAGGGTACGCCATCACTGATTCAAGACGGACACAGTGAAATTCAGTTTGGTCCTGTTATTATTTACAAGGAGTCGCTGGTTTTGTCCTGGTCTTACAGCTCTCTATTCATATTGGATCCAATTAACATGAAGGTTATTAGTGGGTGCTCAGGCAGCCTAGGAAGCATAATGGATGTGTCAGTCGTTGGAGATGAAATATTTATACTTACAAGAGGGGCTGGTAGACCAATAGTAAGGCTAGCCTGCAGTCCAGAATCTATTTATTCAAGACCATCAGGTTAGTAACTTTGTTAAGCTTTGTCCACTCTATGACATTTCCTTTGACAGAAGAACTGTTATATGCCCATATATAGTCATGATGTGCCCATTTATAGTCATGATGTGACCATATTTAGGCATGTCACATGTTTTTGTCAAATAAAATTTGATAGTGTGGACACGGTTTAAAGATACATAACAAGTTAGATTTTGGCTTTAACTGTACATGAATATGGCAAAACCATGTGACCAGACTTTGTTACAGAGCAACATTACCCAAGCGGTCGATATGGCTCAGTGCCTCTAAGCTACAGTCTTCAAAGCTATTTCTATTGACATATCTTTATGACTTAAATTTTTCACATTGTGTCTGTGCCTTGTGAATTTATATATTGACAGTGTAATATACAGTGAGTAAGAAGCTCTGTACACATTCCAATGAAAAAGGGGGAAAAGAAGAAAGAAAAGGTGAGAGGTTATATATCATAAAACTTAAACAAAACATTTCATCATTTATATTTCTTCTATTTTAATACAGAGCATACTCAGTTTACTAGGGAAGAGCTACGACTCCTTAAGGATCAAAATGAAGCAAGAATATCAAAGTTAGAATCCCAACATGAAGTCAGTACTAATCCTGAACAGAAGCCCAACATAGTGAGCAAGTTTCTAATTAAAGCTGCTGATGAGATAGTAAGTGGCGCAAAAATGACAAAAATGAACATTGAGAAACTTGAACAAAAATTAAAATCTTCTCCTAAGCAATCGCCCACTCCAGAACGGAAGGCATCTTTGTCAGAAACAGATGGTAAGGTAGAACCAGATGCAGTACCAACCACTCCTGCTGCCAGCTTATCTGCAGAAGTCTTAGCTTCACAATTCAAGGAAGCAGGAGGGAACCAGGAAGATCATGTGGACACTCAGGAAGAACCAGTTACCAATGGGGTGATCTCAAGCGATATTCAAGAGACATTATTGAAAAATGATAACAGTGGAATTAAACCAAAAGCTGATACTACAACAACTTTTAAAGACATTGGAAAGGAAAGTTTTGAAGATGAGCTTGTTTTTAGTAAGCAAAAAAAGCCAAAGAAAAAGGGTAAAAAGAAGAAAGGAAAAGGTAAGAGAGGATTCTTTTCTATTATACATAATTTAAAATATATCTATGTTAAGGCGCGATCGACAAATTATTCAAAACGACAGAAACGCGTTCGTTTGGTCTATACCCTAGCTGCACTGATTGCTGTAAGGCTGAAATGGACCTGTCTGCAGATATTAGGATTTCTTCCAGTGGATATTATGTTTATTTTGTCACTCTGATCGGATTTTCTCTACTGTTTCGTTTAAATTTAGAATATTTAACAACTTTTAATATTTGAAACGAAAATATAATCAGCTTTTTTGCAGTGAATATTTTCAACCATTGAATTATATATTTGATGAATTTAAACCTAAATTTTAACCCTGTGGTTACCAATGGCTTATCCAGGATTTAAGGAATAGGGGATGGGGTGTTGATGAAATGAGAGTCCACATCACGTTCAGCCTTACATATGTATTACACAAAGGTTTGTATGTATATACATAAGTCACACATTATATGAAAATATGAGTATATTCAATGAGTATAAAATGATAAATAAAAATGTAACAGTGCTTTAAAAAATCTAAAAAGATTCTTATTAAACGAGAGAAGAAGACAAAAAATATAATAGGAAAACAAAATAATACAGGAAAGTTGCATATTAGTTTATGCAGAGTTATTTAAAAGTGCATTTCTTTTTACCCAGGCTTCCTTTCATAGGTAAACCTTACAAAAGTTTTCGAAAATTAATTCAAGTGAGGTATTCTCAGAAAAGAGATCATCTAGAATATAGTGTATTTTAAGGTCAGTTGAGCCATCAAAAAAACTTCCCAGTATTGCAGTAAATTATTTTCAAATAAGGAGACTTTAATATTAGTGAAAACATTAAGTCTAACATTCTCTAATCTTGAACATTCAAGTAGAAAATGTTTAACATCTTCGATGGTGTTACCATATATATTTTACCAGCACAATCAGAATACCAAGGATGCCTTCTACCTTCGAGTCCACAACTTGCTCTTGCTTTAAATTTTAAACTGGCTTCTTTAAAGTCAGTTTAATCTTTTAAGTATGTTTCAAATGACGGTTTACCTTTACATAATAGGTATTCTTTTAGAGATGACTTGCATTGCGCCCTATCAAACCATTCCTTATCATCGTTGTTGAAGTTTTCTGATTTGAAAATAACTGTTGAATGTTCTAGATTAAACATCTCATTTAGGTCATACTTTAATAGAAGACATTTCATGTGAATTAACCATTTCCATTTTAATTGGTTCTGATTGTGCATGACAAAACGAAAAATACCTCCATGGTACAAGAGTGGAAAAAATTTGGGCAGGCTGTTTGATTTGACCAATCTATTCCATTGTTTTAAAAGCATTCAACCGTGAACACTGTAGTTTCTGGACTAAGCTCGCAAGCAATTTGTTTAACATTACGATCCTGTTAAAATTTTTAAAAATGCTCAAAAACTAATAAGATGATTAATTATTAAGATATAGGAGGAGGTTAGACTACTCTGGTGCTACTAATTCTTTGTACAGTCACAGCGCTTGTTTTATCACGTTCACAGCATATTTTCCCTGTATGTCTGCAATCCTGCTACAACAACTATGGATGATGGGAATTTCTCACTCGTCTCGTAGGTAGTCTGAGTTAGAGATTTTTTAGTTTTGAAAATGCTTGAAAGCTTTCCAGACCATTGTATGCATGCTGTATCTTGATTATAAATTATAATATTAAATATTTACAGTACGTTCTACCACAGAATAGGTCTGTACAATGTATGCCTAATTCTAGTTCATGTACATCACTGTAAATTACTAGGCGCCTAGGCCTAGAGTACTAGTACTAGGCCTAGTTCTAGTAGTAGTAGTTAGTAATAGTAGTAGATTGCAGTACAGGTTGGACAGTGTACATTATAATATAAAGCTTGATGAAGATGATGATGATGGGCCTAGTTTGTATGACGTTGACGATGTATCGCTTTTTGTGAGTGCGTTAACAATTCGCGTTCAGCCAGGCATGATTGCCGGAGGACAGGAGCCTCGCCCCCCTCCCCCTTTCGGGGAAATTTAAAAAAAGAAGAAAAAAGAAAGATCGCCTAAAATGCCTCAGAGGTTATTTTTGGGTGTCTAGAAAACAAATACTTTGACTATGCATGCCCCCGGACCTCTTAGGGTAGTTTTGTCTAGATCAGCCCCTTTTGGACGTCTCTATGGAACCATCCCTGGAGGACCAAAAATAAAACGGAACATGCGTGTCTATACGGTATGTTTCACAAATGGTCCCTAAAAGGTACGCTATCAGTATACAATGCAATTCATATTTTTAAAAAAACATGTTTCTATCGTTTTGAATAATTTGTTGATCCTACTTAACTTAAAAATATCAAATATCATGTTTATATTGACAGCTATGGAATGTAATGTAAATCATCCTGGCAGTTCGGATATTGGTGGCTCTCTTCTTGGTTGTCACAATTTTGATCAGTACTCTATAAGGTTCAGCTAAATTGTGTTGTCCTTGTGAGGAAAGCCATTATCCCTGATATTAGACAATAGTACAGTAATTGCTTATTAAAATACCTAATAAAGTACTTTTTTCCATTTTTCAATTATAGGCAAACCAAATGATGACTTCGGTAGAACCAGATGCAGTACCAACCACTCCTGCTGCCAGCTTATCTGCAGAAGTCTTAGCTTCACAATTCAAGGAAGCAGGAGGGAACCAGGAAGATCATGTGGACACTCAGGAAGAACCAGTTACCAATGGGGTGATCTCAAGCGATATTCAAGAGACATTATTGAAAAATGATAACAGTGGAATTAAACCAAAAGTTGATACTACAACAACTTTTAAAGACATTGGAAAGGAAAGTTTTGAAGATGAGCTTGTTTTTAGTAAGCAAAAAAAGCCAAAGAAAAAGGGGAAAAAGAAGAAAGGAAAAGGTAAGAGAGGATTCCTTTCTATTATACATAATTTAAAATATATCCATGTTAAGGCGCGATCGACAAATTATTCAAAACGACAGAAACGCGTTCGTTTGGTCTATACCCTAGCTGCACTGATTGCTGTAAGGCTGAAACGGACCTGTCTGCAGATATTAGGATTTCTTCCAGTGGATATTAAGTTTATTTTGTCATTCTGATCGGATTTTCTCTACTATTTCGTTTAAATTTAAAATATAACAACTTTTTATATTTGAAACGAAAATATAATCAGCTTTTTTGCAGAAAATATTTTCAATCATTGAATTATATATTTGATGAATTTAAAGCTAAATTAATTCAAGTGAGGTATTCTCAGAAAAGAGATCATCTAGAATATAGTGTATTTTAAGGTCAGTTGAGCCATCAAAAAAATTTCCCAGTATTGCTGTAAATTATTTTCAAGTAAGGAGATTTTAATATTAGTGAAAACATTAAGTCTAACATTCTCTAATCTTGAACATTCAAGTAGAAAATGTTTAACATCTTCAATGGTGTTACCATACATATTTTACCAGCACAATCAGAATACCAAGGATGCCTTCTACCTTCGAGTCTTAAACAATTTACTCTTGCTTTAAATTTTAAACTGGCTCCTTTAAAGTCAGTTTAATCTTTTAAGTATGTTTCAAATGACGGTTTGCCTTTACATAATAGGTATTCTTTTAGAGATGACTTGAATTGCGCCCTATCAAACCATTCCTTATCATCGTTGTTGAAGTTTTCTGATTTGAAAATAACTGAACGCCCAGTTGAATGTTCTAGATTAAACATCTCATTTAGGTCATACTTTAATAGAAGACATTTCGGAGAAATTTTAAAAAAGAAGAAAAAAAAAGATCGCCTAAAATGCCTCAGAGGTTATTTTTGGGTGCCTAGAAAACAAATATTTTGACTATGCATGCCCCCGGACCTCCTAGGGTAGTTTTGTCTCGATCAGCCCCTTTTGGACATCTCTATGGAACCATCCCTGGTGGAGCAAAAGTAAAACGGAACATACGTGTCTATACGGTATGTTTCATAAATGGTCCCTAAAAGGTACGCTATCAGTATACAATGCAATTCACATAAAAAAAAAAACATGTTTTTATCATTTTGAATAATTTGTTGATCCTACTTAACTTAAAAATATCAAATATCATGTTTATATTAACAGCTATGGAATGTAAAATCATCCTGGCAGTTCGGATATTGGTGGCTCTCTTCTTGGGTGTCACAATTTTGATCAGTACTCTATAAGGTTCAGCTAAATTGTGTTGTCCTTGTGAGGAAAGCCATTATCCCTGATATTAGACAATAGTACAGTAATTGCTTATTAAAATACCTAATAAAGTACTTTTTTCCATTTTTCAATTATAGGCAAACCAAATGATGACTTCATAAGTGTTCCAGAGACTTTGCCATCATTGACATCCACTGACACAAATTTACCTTCTTTTGAAATTTTGGACAATTATGCACATACTGACGGAGATGTCCTATTAGAAACTCTTTCAACTAGTGGAGTACATGATAACCTGCAAAGTATGCTAAAAAAAGATTGTGAATCTTCAACCACTGGAGTGATCAAGGAAGCTGTCTCTTCAGAAGAAAATCCACCTCAACATAATGGTGGTGATCAATCTGATATCAATGGTCATAGTGAAACCCAGAACAATTTTGGGTGTGTGAAAAATGATTTGTCAAAAGATGATGACAACACATTTTTGAATGTAAGCACACTTTCATCAAAACAGACAATCGGTTCTTGCGATAACGTATTAAATATCTTTGCAACAAAACACAGTCCTGATCCTAACAATTTAGGTTCAAACTCCTGCAATGAATCTGTAACATCTGCAGATGATCCTCGTAGTTTGACGTCTTGCAAGGATGATAATCTAGCTCCCATTGAGGATGGTGGTGGCATCTCTGATACTGATCTTAAAGATCAACCACAAACAGAAAAGGACATCAGTATTTATGACCGGCCTAACACTCTAGGTAAAAATAAATCGTTGGAACATGAACCTGACCAGATATCCACAAGTTCTCATGAAAGTCTTGAGGCTGAGATGTCTAGTGATGACTTCAACTTGCCAGAGGGGATCCAGCAGAAAGTGGCTGGTAGCTGGGTGCATTGCAACTCACCCGGAGTAATCACTCAACTGATCGTATCTGACAGACATGTCTGGTGCGTGGACAATCATGACAGGGTTCACTTCACACTTATCAACTCGGGCAAGTACAAATGGAATAAGTTACGTGATTCAGCACAACAGATGGCAGTATCGCACACGGAAAGCATAGTCTGGAGGGTGCATCGTAAAAGCGGAAAGGCGTATGCATGTGCCCCAATTACACCCCGCTCTCCAATTGGATCCAAGTGGGCAGAGACTTGTCATGATGTGTGTTACGTTGCACTCGATGAGACCATCGCATGGATTATCAAAACTAACCACGATGTTTATGTGCAACAGGATTTGAGTCGTGACCGTGTATATTCACGCAACGTCAGGGTATCAAGCTCAAGTCAGATAAAACTTGACCAAGTGGCAACCAGTCGGGGGGTAGTGTGGGGTCGTGTTACTGACGGAAATATGGTGTACAGAAACGGAATTACCGACAACAAACGCACTGGTACAGAATGGTTGCCTTTTGATGGCCAAAGGTAAAGGTGTCTGTTTTTAAAATATAGTATTCACCTTTTGTTGTGACTACTGTAGATACAAATGAATTTTATGGAAATATGATACCATACAATACCAAATATATAGTTCTTAATTTTAAGTTTTGTTTAATGTAAAAAAGTAATACTGGAATAAATCGGATATGTTTCAAGATTCATAAAAGCTCAGCTGACTTTTAAAAAAATTGTTGGCACAGCGGGAACGGTTTGGTTGCCTGTTACTGCGCCAATGTGGCAGCAACACTTCAGCATATGGACCCTATGACAAAGGAAATGCGCTATATATACCAAATAATAAAATAACAAATAAGCATACTTCATTATGTTGTGTTGTAGCATTCAAGTTGTGAGTATGGCCATTGATAGTAGAAACACTGGTTGGGTTATTGATCAAGATGGCAACGTTTGGATGAAGACCGGTGTAACAATGGAAACTCCACAAGGAGACAGCAAAAATTGGTGGCAGGTTGGTGTACTGTTCTGAAATATATCTAGATTATTCCATAAAATTAGCTTTGGATAACAATCAATCAATCCGCTGGAAATCTACAGATGTGCTCTGGGTCACCACTTTGTATCATGCTAGTAGTCATTGCTACTTTCTCATTTCCATTGCAGAAGTCATTGTTAAAGTTCGTTGGGATCAAAGTTTGTTTTTCTCTCTCTTTCTGTATTTCACTTTTAATACCATCAATGTACACAGGGCTCCATAATAGGCCTGGTTCTCACGAGAGCCCTAGTATCCAGATCGGGAGCTAACTGTTAGCGCTCAGCGTTAGCACCTACGTGAGTACGCCCGATCGGTTAGCGGTATCCGGATACCGCTAACGGTTAGCAAGCGCTATCGGTTAGCAAGTTGAGGGCGTTTCTATCATCAACCAATCACACGTACGCATTTACAATTTCCAGTTTCTTATTGGCCAGTGATTCGATTATCATATTGTTGGTATCCAGATCGGGATTTTCTCGCATGGACGCACGGCAGCTAACGGTTAGCAGGATCCGGATCCTTTAGCTGACGTGTGAACATAGCCATAGAAAACTGTTACCATTCCAAATGTATTTGAGTTGTGCATCCCTGTACCTGAAATTATTGGTACAATTGAGAGAGGCATCTGGAATATACTCGCTATCATAAAGGGGTATTGAATTTGTTTATTTATATTTCTCTGTTATGTACCCTGAAAAAATAGATATAATTAAATAATATAATAGTTATGTATGATTTCTATAGGTTCCAATGAGCGAGTATTTGATGCAAGACCGAAGTACCTTTTCGGCGTTATTTGAGAACACCATAACCATGGTGGGTAAACAGATCTTCAAGGCGTACCATCAGTCTAGGCCAATGTTTATTGGTGCAAGTAGTGCTGGTGTGTGGGTTGCTGGCTCAGGGCATGTCAAAAGTTCTCTGTATGCTTCTAAGGGAAATCTCATAGGTAGGGTTCAGACAGTGGCGTATATAGAATATATAGAATCATTAATATGTAAATGGTGGACGGGGCACGATTAACATGGGGAGGGGGTGGCTAGCTAACAAAATCAGGTAAAATTAGGTTTTAACTACTATTCAACTATTTTGAGTGCAAGTTCTTCGCTACAAAAATTTTCAATGTTGAGGCATCTGGAAGGGGAGGGTGTATTCTACTGACTTCCACCAAAGATCTAACTATTAAAACAATAATATCAATTTAATTTTATAATCATAAACATTTATGTAAACACTGATGTCCACCACTTTTTATTATATTTTTTTTAGTAGTAAAATTCCATACACTTGTTTTGTTTTATTGAAAACACTGTAGGTAGCTATTGGAACATGGCTTCCCCACACGGATTATCTCAATCAGCTCAGTGGCTGTGCATCTCTGCATCAGGGGCGTATGGTACAAGTGGTAAGGACACTTCAAAAGACGAATTGAACTTAATTAAGTCATATTTTTGTATACATTCAAGAGCTAGAGAATTCACCGGATGCAAAGTGAATGCATGTAATGGCCTTATATCATTTTAACAGTTAAATGCAGCCTGGCCAAATCGGATGTCATCCAGAAATAACAGGCTAGCATTGAAGTTAAGAATTCAGGGGTAATATTTCACTGTAAAAGAAGTCCAAGTTCACACCTCCACAGCTTATCTATCACAGTATCCATGAACTGTGTACAGGTTTATGCTTATGTAACTACAACAGAAAATGTAGCTGGGCTACAGCTGGCGTGGGGGTGGGAAGAACCAAAGGGCACAGCATAGAGGTTTATATAGACAACATGCTGAGGCCTTTATCCTGCAGTGGATAGATAATGGCTGAAGAAGTGAAGTAAGTTATGTAAAGCACTATATGCTGTGAATTATACATGCAGTTGTTTACTTCTAATAAATGTCACCCTTTTACTCTTATTTTCTATATAAATAAGGAATGATATGGGCTCTACAGAAGAGTGGAGAGGTGTTCTGTTTCCCTTCAGACACACTTCGACCATGTCTGATAGAGCCACCAGTAGGCCAGGATAATCTGAAATACTTAAGCAGTTCAGCTGAGGGTCTCTGGGCAATAGGAGAGTCTAACAGCGTGTACGTCAGGGATGGCATGTCGCCGAGGCACCCACAGGGCCTAAGATGGAAAACATTAAACCTATCTCAGCTAGGTACAAAAGTTTGGTTTTTGAATTTTATCTAATTCAATATCATTGATGCTTCATATTACTAATGTTTTGTTCACACTATGAAATTTTCTGTTACAAGTATTTTTTATTGATTTGCTCATTTATTACCATGAATGTCATATCGCACACATATATGGGCATGACTATGTCATATAATACCCTATACAGGTAATTGGAAAATCACTGTTATCTGCATTAAATCTATAGAATAAGGTGGACTGAACGTAAATCTGATTATGATGTAGTTAGAAGGAGTCTATTTTTCAGTTTAGACTTAAAAACTACAATGTTTGGTGGTACATTCTATTAAATACACTTTTGAAAGTTTCAAATTGGATTTAAAATAATTGGTACATTCTTGTAAATTCTGATGAAAGTGTTAACACAATAATTTTATTAATTAATCTTTGATACAAATTTCAGGACCATCAAAGGTGATTCATCTGACCTGTGGCTCCATAGGTGTGTGGGCATGTGATAGCGACGGAAATATCCACTTCAGGCTAGGCCTATGTATGCCACGCAACGACTCCATGGTACCTGCCTGGGTACAGGTCGATGGCAAGCCAACAGGCAGTGGTAACTACTTCACTAATGTCTATGTTGGGCCTGGCGATAACATTGTTTGGGCATTGGATAACAAACGGAACGTGTATGCGAGATGGGGAATATCTAATCGGTTACCAATCGGGTTAAGATGGGAAATAGTGCAAGGTTTGTTATAATTATTATTTATTGTTTTTTTAAAGTATATTATATTGCATTTCTGTTTACATTTTCTAGGTTTAAGTGCATTTGAATTCTGTCAGACGAAAGGTAAATATACATGAAAAACAAAAGTAAAATGCTAAAGAAAATTATGAAAGTATAAAAAAATAAACATGAAAACCAACTCAACATCAGTGAGACTCCAACTATAGAGTACCACAGTCGTGTCGTCACGACGCCAGGTGGCGCTCTCTGTTGTCAACAGACGTAGGTTACTGTTCTTTATGCCTGAATGACTTCATAGGCTTTCTGGAATAGGCATTTTGAAATCTAATATTTTACCATCAAATTCTAAAACCAAAAAAGCTGGCATTATAGTAGTTATCCAACACACATTTAACCATCAATTAAAATTTACAAAGAAAATGTAAGATAAAACATCTTAATTATTACGTTTGAAATTGGGATCAATTGTTTGTCAGTGAAGAAAATGGCAGCCGGTTAAACGCTTTTTGCAACGATAGCAATGGAGTAGTATCACGTGACATCGTGACGTAACACTGTAGTACTCTCTAGCGAGAGTAATGTTGAGAGTTCTTGCCATTATGCTAACTGACCTGATCCTGCTGGGGCTAGGTGCATTTTTAGTTGGTCTATCTTGCATAATTTTTTAAGTCAAGGGGGAAAATTATTTATGAATGTCACTGTAATTTTGTGTTTAACATACTATAGCTGTAGCTAGTTTGAAACACTTTAGAAAATTTTTTTTTTCAGGTACACCAGCAAATCTGTTGTGTGTTAGCTCCGAGAGTGTGTGGGCACTGTGTCCCAATGGAGATGTTTTCCGTCGCCACGGTATCACAGAAAAAAACTCGTTGGGTGATTATTGGAAGAAAGTTCCAGGAAATTTCTCACTCCTCTCAGGTATAGTTAAACCTTGTGTTTTAATTGAATTATTAATTTTTTAAATAGATCTTTAATTTTAATCTGGATAAAACATTCAACTTTTTAATTAATTATGTGTTTTGTTTAACAGACTCTTTAAGAGTCTCTCGATCAGCTACGGCATTTTATATTTCTACTTTTGTATAAGATATTATTATTTTTAATTGATTAATTATGCACAGTGGCCAAGACTTGCCAATAAACACTGTCTTAAGTACTAATTTTCATCACATGACAATCATACACACAGTAATACATAAACTAAATCCTTGTCCACTCTTTCAAAACTGATATGACCATATATAGGTGTGATATAACCATATATAGGTGTAATATGACCATATATAGGTGTGATATGACCATATATAGGTGTGATATGACCATATATATGTGGAATATGACATTATCATGCCCATATATTGGCACATCACATTATTTTTTCACATAAAGTCTTAGAGAGCCAAGTTTTTGGTCCTGTGAAAAAAATTCTGTCAGTGACATGATTTGAACCCAGTATTCTGTGATTGGAAGGCAAACATTTAACAAAGTACAGCTTTACTTTTTTTAATTGTTCTTTTTAAAAGTGTTGTGTGATGTTTTCTTCTGCTGCTGATAATTCATTATGTTACTTGATTATATGCCTAAAGAATTAATTTTGTTTTCTTAATTATTAAATTTTTAGTTCTTATCTTTTTATTTATAGTGAGTCAGAACGATGAATTGTGGGCCATCGACAATGAAGGTCACATATTCCAGCAGTTGGTCAAGATGTTTAGCCGTGGAGGGGAGCACCTGCAGAGGACAACAGCCATCATCGAGGAAGATGACTGGGATGTGATTTGAGAAAAACTATGTTATCGCCACCACAGGTGTTGGAATACCATAACATTCTTTATACTGGTTTCTGCTGATATAAAGCAACTACTTTCGCAAGGTTTCATGTCTCTCAGTTAAAGGCTGACATTCTTTCATTCATTATGGTTATATGTTGGTAAAAGAGCATTTTGTTGTACCGGTGAAACTCATTTTGTGTTTTACCATCAGAGGAATTTTAAAATTGTTGATTATCAAATAATAAACAATAGGAGTGGCGGTTAAGATGTTTACCTTCCAAAAGATAGGTGTATTTTATCGTTTAAAGTTTAAATATGTGAGAGAGTGACAGCTTTAAGAAGAGCGTACAACCTACTATTACTGTGAAGTTCTGTCGAACTATCAAATTTTCTTTTGACAAAAAGTGTTGTATACCCATATATAGTCATGATGTGCCTATATATGGTCATGATGTGATGTCATTACGACTATATTTAGGCATGTCACATGTTTTTGTCAAATAGAATTTGGTAGTATGGACGGGACTTAAAGCCAGGCACTATGTCGGTCATCAACACAATTCCATGAATACCGCAACACAACTACGTACGTGCAACACATCGTTTTTAACAACAACAGAACTTTGCGCTCAGCCCTGCCCCTTGGATGTTGTTGCTACGGTATTGTTGCTACGGACAGCGTAAAAACATACATGCAAACACGTGCATTTGTGGGACAATGTGTGCGTTTCTCTATAGGCACGAATTTATTCCTGGCCAAGTTCTGATTGGTCAGTTGTTAAGTTTGATTGACACTCCAGACATAATTCCCAAGAGAATGCCGCACAACAAGGCGCAGAACAGAATATGTTTTAATGATGATCCACCCAGTCTTCCACTGACAGTCGGCAGACAGATGCATCGTCAAGTGCTCAAAATAGCAGAAATAGATTTATCAGCCACCGGTTGTGTGCCTGGCTTTTTAGGTGTGGCGCCTTAGACAAAATTTATTGTAGTTAATAGCTACATAGCTGTTATTTCTTATTATAATTGTTAAAAAATGGATTAAAATCTATTTCTAAAAGCTTAAAAAGCCAAATATGTACCGTATATGTGTATTCTAAAATGTGTAGTGAAACAATTGGTGTAAATATGCAGGTAAGCCTTTAGTCAAAATAGCAATCAGAAATGTCAAAAGTTTTAAGAGTTATATATTAAAATATAAAGCTGGTACCCTGTAGTTTAATTTTTGGATCTGGTGTGACTGCTATAGCCAAAAATCTTGTGTACAAGTTGATCTGGATTGGAAACAGACCTTTGTAACATAGGTAATAAGGATTGCACAGAGAATTCACATTTTCAAAAATAATCTGATTCATACTTTTTTCATCAAATCGGTTTACTTTTGTGGAGTGTGCTTGTGCTAACTCTTAATATAAAAAAAAAAAATATTTTAATTGATTTTGTTACAACCATATTCCTCTCGGCTGTAAGCATCGACATGTGTTTTAAATTTCCAGGCTAGTCTGGTAAAACAAATAAAATAAATGTAAATTACTTGTCTTTTTTTTCACAGCAGTTAAGTAAATGTTTCCTATGGCATCAGTTTTGGATCGAAGAATATAGAAAATGTAGACTTATATGGTATTCTATGGGGTTTCTTTTTCCACATTAAAGAGTACAATATAGTGTAGATGTTACAGTGCCTGTTTTGTGGGAATATATGTGGTATTACAGTCTAACTCAAATAATTTATAAGTCAATCTTATTTTACATGCCAAATTGATGTGTTTTCCATTAACACAAGTCAAATTTTATCAAACAAACAATTTTTCAATGCCATTTTGGATTCAACTTAGGCAAGTTCAACTCTATATATTTATTGGACCTCTTGTAGGACAATAATTTTATTCTCTGTAAGCATAATCACCTTCAGAAATTGTAAAATTGGAACATTTGTTTGGTCTTGACAGCATCTCCTGTTGTAAACACTAAATGTAGCATGTGTTTCCTTCAATATACTTTGCTATATACAGCAAAGTTTTTGTGCCTCAATAACACAAAGGTTGTTTATTATAGGCTGAATTATTTGTAATTGAAATTTTTTTAACATACTAGTAATGTCGGACAATTGAAACAAATACAGTATTTTAATTATGCAATTTTTAGTCTTTTTTAAAAACTATTTTAAATATATTTGTTTAATTCATCAAGTTATCAAGTCATCGTGGGCAGTAATATTAGGTTTATGAATAATAATTGTATCGTAGATATGAAGATTTATGATTTAACCATGGAGGTAGCCGCCATAATGAAACTCATTTGAATATTCCAATCATTCCAGCTTTGGTTTATTAGTGCAATATTTGTTGAATTCCATTTTAAAAGTATTATACATAAAATAATGTAATAAGTTATTTTAAAGGTGTGATCTATATATATATATAAAACCCCCCGAAAAATGTTTTCAACATTTAACTACAAATCTTTTATAATAATTCACATAGGCCATATAATAGTGTGATAAAATTTTTGTTTTAAAGTTATGATCTATATAATAATGTAAACCCAAAATATATATACCATGTTCCTTGCCAATCTACAAATCATTACTAATTTATCTCTTAAGCCATTATTTGGTTGGTTTAAGAATATTTAGCAGTGTAATTTTCCCCTTTTAACATACTGTAATTTTAACGAAACAAATTATCATTTATCAATTTGGTCATTTACGGTAATTAAACTTGTATACATTTATGCAATGTATACATTAACAAGGATTCGAACATAAGACCTTCCAAGCTATACATTATGCCTTGTAAAATAGCTGTTTATATGAGAACTGCCTTGGTGTCAAAAATGCTTCAGTGATACAAGCCTACTCGTGTGAAATAATATTTTGTGGGAAAAACGTAATCACTCAACAAGTAAACAATTAAAAATACATGGTCTGTTTTATGATGAAAATAGTTTGAATTAATTTATAGAATAAGTATTTATTAGTTTTTAATTGAAAATTTCAGAAACCCCTAAGATATTTCTTTTGAGTTTAGCTAAACAATTTGAGACAAAAAAAACATTTTTATTTTATTTATTTCACTCATATGTTGTGAGACCAGTTTTGAAACTTAGTTTGCTATTTTGTCCATTTGTTAATAGCTTATAAATAAAACAATATATATATTTTTTCCAATTAAGTCAAATTTGCTATTATATTTTTGCATATACTATACCCTTAAGAGAATTTCACAAATGGAGGGTGTAGACTACCTCAGCCCCGGGGGTGGGGTGAGAAACAACACTAGCTGCACCAC